TTTGTGGGGGTATCTTTGTGGATTTCTGTGGGCCTCTTTAGCACTTTGTTTCTTCCTTTTCTCATGTGGTCTTCATTTACCATGGTCTCCTATTCCTTGCTCTCCCTCTCTGTTCTTGATCCAGCTGGGATCTCCCGCTCTCTTTCCCTCGACCCTCACCCTTCATTGCTCCACTCATGTCCAGGTTGTTTATGTAGATCTCAGCCATTTCTCCATCATTGGGCGATCCTCATGTCTGTCATTTTGTTTTTTAACCATGTATGTCTCTCTGGCTGTTGCCACTGCTTCTCATTGTTACTGGACGGGTGAGTGACCAGAGCTGAGAACTGCTGCCCTTAAACCACCTTAAACCACCTGACAGGCAGGCATAGACATGGGTTCCTGGGCTGTATCCCAGAGTTACAGAAGCAGACACTTTGGATGTGTTGGTACAGGAGGCTAAGGAGCTGATTTCACAACTCCCTTGGCTGCTTCCCATGCTGTCTACATGTGAGAATGTTAGTGGAGTAGAGGATAGTTAAAGAGACATCTAGCTCTCAGAGCCTGTGACTTCTAATAGAAAAAATAACCACATATCAATTTACAGCCTTGAAAGCCATGCTCACAGCGTAGATGCAGGTCATGAGTCTGCCCGTGTATAAGGTTAGCACTCTTTGCTGTTTTCCCCCCTCATGTCTTTGTAGCTCAGACCTCTAGTCTGCCTTGTTTTGCTGGACATTAGTAAGATGCTATAATGGTAAATATCTGTGAAAGTAGAGAGACAATAACAGTTCTGCTATGTTCATCACCTGGCTAACCCTTAGCTGATAATAGCAGTTCTGTTTGTCTGTTTCCACCCACGCTTTTTCATTTGTTTTGATACAAAACCCAGATAACATTTGTCTGAGCTAGTTTGGTATGTGCAAGAAACTTTTTCTTTAGACAGGGTTTAACACTGTAGTCTATGCTGAGTTTAAACTCAAAGCTGACTCTTCCCACCTTGTTTTTTTTATTAATTTCCTAGGCTTTGAAGACAAAATATCTAAACTCTTATTTTAAGAGTTTATTCAGTAATTTAATGCTGTGGGTACAGATACTTTGCATTGCACCTCCAAGTAGCAACCTAGCTTATGAAGTGTGGATTAGGGCACTGCATGGGGCCCGTACTGCCCAGGCTTTCTGGTGCACATTGGTGTCTGTAACTAAAGTCAAGCAGGAGCTCTGCTCTTCTACTTCCTACTCACCTCACTACTTTGAAATTTGTTAGTAAGATCAATCAGCTCTCCATTTTTTGAAAATAGGCAAGATTGTATTATAAAGGCTCATCTTGCGTTTATTTCCTTTCTGCTATGTTCACGCTTATGTGTACATTTGCAAGTACAGGTAATTAGAGATGTACTAAGTATCACCCCCCCACCACTTATTTTTAAAATTTATTTTTTGGTGTGTGTGTGTGTATGTGCATGTGTGCACATGCATGTCCCATGGTGCAGTTGTGGAGGTCAGAGGATGGATAACTTCTGGGAGTCTATATCTTCTCCCACCTTATTGGTCCCAGGAATGGAACTTTGGTTGTCAGGCTTGGCAACAAGTGTCTTTCCCTGCTGAGTCATCTCACTGGCCCCCAAATACCAACTTTGTTAATAGCAAGTCATACATCTTTCCAAATCATACAATATAATAAACATGTATTGGTTTTCCCACTTTTATAATAGTCTTACTCTTTGTATTATTCTAATAAAAATATTTTCCTCTAGTTAACATGCTGTCTAGACTGCTGTCCCAGGGTAATAATATAGGAGATACATAATGTGCCCCAGGCTGATGGTCTGTGTGCATTTGCTTACACTTAGTGCTGGATACCATTGCATCCAGTATGTCATAAATCTATACCATTTTACAGATGGGTGGGTGTATTTCAGGGCTCATCCTTGCAAGGGGACCTGTAGCTGTGTTGGTACTAAAAGGTTATTTTTTTGCAGGTCAATGTGCGGAATGGAATGAGCTTGCATGACTGCCTTATGAAAGCTCTGAAGGTGAGAGGCCTGCAGCCGGAGTGTTGTGCAGTGTTCAGACTTCTCCAGGAACACAAAGGGTAAGAGTGCAAGACAGTCAGCACCTTTCAGAACAGTAAGGATTTCCTACTTCAAATAACTTGTTGTTTCACAAATGCTTTGTATTAGATTCCTAGGGACTAGGGTATGTGTATACTTTTGTTTTTAAAAGTATCAATTCAGGAAAATTTGCTACTGAGAATTATTGCCTGGATATTGTCTTGAAAACTATAATGCACAGGAGATGCTAATAGCGTGTCCAGGGATGGAAGCAGAATTGTTAGAAGGCATGATTTTGAGTGCAAAGAATGTTCCTGGTGTTTGCCATACAGAGTGGGTATCCTGAAAATGTTTGCATTGTTTTTTATAGTTGAGCTGGAAGGATGGCTATTAAGAGTGTTTGCTGCTCTTGCAGAGAGCTCAGGTTCAATTTCCAGCACTCACATCAGATGGTTCACAACTGATTGTAGCTCCAGCTCCAGGGGATCTGATGCCCTCTTTGGCCTCCAAGGGCACCTTCACATACATGGTGCATATACATGCACCCAGAGACACACACTATATATATTTTAAAGAATACTATCTTTGTCCTGAAGAAATACCCCAGTCAGTATAGTGCTTGCCTTGTCATCTGATTGCCAGAACTGACATCAAACCCTGGGTATGGTTGTGCCCTTGTAACCTCAGCACCTGGAGGCAGAGACAAGCAGGTCTCTGAAGGTTGCTGGCCAGTTTACCCTATTGGTGAGCTCCAGACATACCCACTCACTGCAGTACTAAAGAGAAGTTCTAGTCATTCATGCTTTGTCAGCCAAACCTGGGGAAACCTTTGACTTTGCCCTCTTTGGGGAGCAGTGCTTCTGTTACTAACCTCCTGCTTGTTGTATTTGTGGTTCTGAGTTCCCCCTCTGGAGAGAACACCCAGGAGTCTCCTCACAGAGCTTACCTTCCATGTGTCTCTTCCTCTGCTTGGTCAACAGTTAGTTTGCTGATCTTCAACACGTCATCATCACCTTTAGCTGGCTTTATCCCAGTGTTGGTCCCCAAGCTGATCCATAGACTTCCTTTACGACTAGGGAGATTCTGAGACAGGGGCTTAGTCCACACTTCTCCAAAGCTGTGTGACTGGGAACTGATCTCAGTTCTCTTCAGGACAGACAGCCCCTACTTCCTGTTCAGAAAGTGAGGCTTCCTTCCTGGTCTTCATCAGGACACAGCAGTACTCTAGACAGATACCATCTCCCTACCTTAAGGAATGGCTTGTTGGCTTCTGGCAGGTGACGGAGGGGTTTGAGTGATGTCATGTGTGTTACATTCCTTCTTAACTGGGAATGTTCATCCTCCACAAATGGGACAGATAAACTGAACTAAGTTTTTCCTTAAATCGCTATGATGGCTTGTCTTGCTTGTTCCGGGCACAAGAAACAGCGTTGTCAGCCAATTTTAAAGACTGTTTTGTCTCCTATAGACTTTATTTTTATAACCTCTACAAACAACTTTGCGTCAGTAACTAATGAAAGGGCATCTCTGTTTGCATTATGTTTGTGGACGTTTAGATTGAAGTAGCTGTTGAACACTAAACTTGAGCACTGTAGTCACTGCACCTTACTTTATGTGATCTTGGTATTACACAGTCTCCTGAAAGACATAGTTACCCTTCTAATGAGATTGTTTTATTTTATTGTTAAAAAAAATTTTGTTCTAGGAATATAAAGTTTGGAGTCCAACAGACTTGAATTCCAACAGGCCCATCGCTCTATGAGCAGGGTCTCTTGGGGGCCCTAGTTGCTTATTTTTAGGGTGGGACCAGACTCCCTGTCCGGTGTGCTTAGACAGCATGCAGTACACAGTAGAACTGCTCTGTGTCCGGACCCTTGTCCATTGTCACCTCATAGTATACTTTGGGTAATTTTCAGTAAGAAAGCACGCTTAGATTGGAACACCGACGCTGCCTCTCTGATTGGAGAAGAACTGCAAGTGGATTTCCTGGATCATGTTCCACTCACAACTCACAACTTTGTAAGTTTCAGTGCCTGTCTTTCTCTGGCATTTTGGCTCTTTGCTGTTCATGGCTGACCTTTCCGAGAAGCACTAGACATGTGCATTGTTAGTTGCTTTCATTCTCTTGCTGTGCTCATGTCCAGTGGGCAGTTTAGAGTCTGCTAACAAAGGTTCCTCTGCTTTCCGTTTCTGAATTTGACAGTGTTGGAAGTAGGATTCTTCACTGTGGGAGACTCTTGGGAGGCCAGTGGAGAAAGCAAGTACCTTGTTGGTTCTTCACTTGTGTTATTGGATTTCTGTAATTTCTGCTTTCTTGTCACAGGCTCGGAAAACGTTCCTGAAGCTTGCATTCTGTGACATCTGTCAGAAGTTCCTGCTAAATGGATTTCGATGTCAGACTTGTGGCTACAAGTTTCATGAGCACTGTAGCACCAAAGTACCTACTATGTGTGTGGACTGGAGTAATATCAGACAGCTCTTGTAAGGCATTTTTTTGTTTGTTTGTTTGTTTTGTTTTTTTCCTTGTAAAAATTCAGGGTCAGGTGCAGAAACACTTTTGAGGATGCTCATTTTATATGTTTATTGTCTGAGTTCTAGGTTTGTTAAATAATTGCTGTGAGTTGGAAACTATCTACTTTAGAAGCACCATAGTTCTAAAATTAGCTAGTTTTAGTGTGGCAACCTAACTGAAATAAACAGGTAGGGAGTTGGGAGAAGACTCAGTTGGTGAAGTGTTTACTTTAAGCATGAGGGCTGAATTTGATCACCAGCACTGACATAAAAGCTGGGCCCACACTGTGTGCCTGTAATCTCTGAGTCGGGATGGTGGAGAGAGGGCTGTCCTTGGGACTTGCTGACCAGCTAGTCTATCCGAGTTGATACCACAAACAGGTAGGACCCATTGTCTGTCAAATAGCTACTCACACTGATTTGTCAAGGAAGAGAACAGGGACATGGAAATCAAAGGGCTTTTTTCTCTCCTCAAATGGGCTGCAAGTGGCCAGGGCTGCATATTGTCCTGAGAAAGCAGAAAGTGGAGCTTGGCTGTTTCCTTCCCCTTGCTCTAGGAACAACGTGTTTGGTTGGGCCTCACAGTTTGGATATAAAACTGTTTTGTGACTTTGTTAGGTGACAAACCAGGTACCAAGATACATTTCACAGAGAGAAGGTGGTTTAAATAACTGCAAATTTAAATTCAAATTATACTTATTAAAGCCTTAAAAACTGTGTTGAGAGTATGAAGTCAGTTTTACCCTTATTGGAGCATGTTAGGAAAATGAGAGGACCTTTGTCTTCACTCACAATGGGAAGGAACCTTTTAGCTCCCACAGAAGTCACCTGTTGCTTCTCAGAGAACTTGAGTAGCATGTGCTTGTGACCAAGCCACACATCACTACCCCAGGGCTGTCATCCGCACCTCTAAGTCTCAGCTCATTGATCTGAAAAGAGGTCTCATGGGAGGTGGCTGGGATAACATGCGATTGCTTAGCACAAATACTCAGCGTGTGGAATCAAAGTGCCTGGTTAATGGTAATTCCACTTTCCCTTCCTTTTTACTATTGGTGCTGAATATAGTTTATTCCTTATAGATTAGTCTTCTCATCGTTTCCAAGACAATTCCAGAAAAGCTGGATGTGATAAAGGTTTTAAAGTTGCCCTATCACTTAAGAAAACATTACTTTGATATAGCTGGGCAGGACCCGACTTTCGCAGAGATTCATTCTAGCAGGATGTGTGTTCATTGGCAGGTTGCTGCCCCTCAGTCTGTAATCCAGCCCTTTGGGTTGGTAGTCTCTTCATAGCACGTGTCTTGGGAAAATGAATAAAGGGAAGCTGGGTTGTAGCTGTGGGTTTGCAGGCAAGGGGCTTGTTTCTCTGTAAGAGGACAAAATCTATAAACCAGTCTTTCCATGTTTCATTTAGGCTGTTTCCAAATTCCTCTGTTGGTGATACTGGAGTCCCAGCACTACCTTCTTTGACAATGCGCCGGATGCGGGAGTCTGTCTCCCGGATGCCTGCTAGGTAATGTTACTTGGCACTCTTGGAAAGTTAATGGTGGGTTGGGAGCCTACTGTCATGTTGGCTGTCTGTAGACCCTCTGCTGCTTCTGTGGAACACCGATTGGAGACCTTTCTCTCTGTGGCCCACGGAGCTTACATTCTGAAAAAGAGTGACTTTGACTGTTGGCCCTTCTGTTCCAACACAACCCTCGGTCTCCTGTTATATTTATAAAAAGCTTGAGGTCTGCCTTCTTCCAGTTGTGGTGAATTAAGCCTCTATGGAAAGGTCCCCAAAGTGAGTATAGTGGCTAAGAAGATCAGACCTTACTTCTAAAATGTTTATCATGGCCTTAATATCCAAGTAGATGAAAGAGATAGCCTTTCTGTTACTCTTTTCAGTTTGCATTTGAGTTGTCATTGCTGCTGTTTTCTAGCTTTAAAACTCAAAGTTCAGTGGAGTACACATGTTGCTCAGTGACACACAAGAATATAGAATCTAAAATAAAGTCTACATTTTTGTCTAAAATGTCTGACTTTTAACTTACATGTAATCAGCTAGCATTTAATGATCCCTGTAAAACTACTATGGAACCAGTGAAAGGCAGCATCTTAGAACAAGGAATTTGTACTGAAATTGTGTCTGACTTGAATGACGCCTTTTTGGTAATTTGAAAACTACATTCAAGCAAAAAACAACTTGCCTTGAAACAATAGGATGAAACTAGACTCTGAAAGCCTAAATGTAGAATTCCTAGTGCAAGGTAGCATTTCAGTGAGGGAACAGCCTTCCTCAAGTAAGGCCAGACACACTCAGGGTAGTCTGGCCATAGACAGAATGGTATTCTTTAGAAAAGCCAGTCTTTCTTTGTCCCTTGAGTTCATTTGAGTATGACCTGAACCAATCTTAAATGAAGTCTGCAGAACAAATATGTTCTACTTTGTTTTGTTGGGGTTTGGGTGGAGTTCAGGGCCTCATCGAGGCTAGGCTTGTGCTTCACAATAGAGTCACCCCTTAGCCATGGAAGCTGTTATTTGTTTCAAGATACTAGGGCTTAGACCTAAAGCCTTACATAGGCTAGGCACACATTCCTTCTACCACTGAGCTGCACCCCCATACTTGTTAATGTGGGTTCCTAGGCTGAAATAGTCATAGGTTGGGGTTGCAGATCTAAAGATGGAACACACTTTGCTGTGCGCTGACTACAGAGAGAAATTCTCAGTCTTTCTTTCAGTTAAGTTGGGCAGATTCCTATTAGCATTAGGTGGTAGTTGTAGCAAATACAGATCTGTTCTTAGAGATGTAAAACTCTAAATTATTCTCAAGAATGATTTATTACCAAGGAGAACTTGTATGATGGATTCTCCTTTTCACAGGGGATGACAAGCACATTTTTCATTTTCAAAAATTTGCACACAAAAAGAACCCAGACAGCATTTTAAAATAGTGCATATTTAAAGAATGAACCATTGTGTCAAAGACTGTATGGATCAGTTTGCCCCTAAGTGTCTTAATGAGGTAGGCAGTTGAAAAGACTTTGCCAGTGTGGAGGCCTGAGTGCCAATCATGGGACTTTCTTTCTCCTCCATGCCTAGTTCCCAGCACAGATACTCCACACCTCATGCCTTCACTTTCAACACCTCCAGCCCTTCCTCTGAAGGTTCCCTCTCCCAGAGGCAGAGGTCAACGTCCACTCCCAATGTCCACATGGTCAGCACCACCTTGCCTGTGGACAGCAGGATGATTGAGGTAATAGGGCCCCTTGTGGGTGGTGATGAGCAGCAGTAGTTAACATTGGGAACAGAATGTAGATTTCAGAGCTGCTCAGGAATGTTGCAGTATTTTCTTAGGCCCTTAAAAATAACTTCGAAATGTTATTTTAAAATCTGTTACTTCCATAGACTGACTTAATAACTAGGCCGTGTATTGTTCCAGTGGGAAACAAAACTCCCCCTAACCATTGTGCGGGTGTGTCCCAGCTTCGGGTGTGAGTTCCTTGAGCTGGTACAGATATGTGCAGAGCAGAGCAGCTTCATGTGGTGAGGGTGTTGTAGACTACAGATGCTCTAGAGGACTGAAAGTAGGACCTCTAGGATCTAAAATGCATGGAAGCAGATGTGCCAGTGCCAGTGCCAGTCAGTGTTTGCAGACTGCCTTTTCTTCTCTTGTATGTTCTGTTTGTTTGGTTTGCTTTCTAGTTCATCTTTAAAATCAACTGACTACACTTCAAATGCTTCCTTTGTCTTTATTCTTTATTTCTCATTGCTTTGGACTAGAATAACAGCCTGAATGCCTCTCCCAGGGCGTGCTCCAGACGGTTTTGTCTGAGGGGAAGAGTAGGTATTTTCTCCATGCCTTTGCTTCTTGGGTTTAACAGGATAGACTGTCAGATGGTAGACTATCATGTGAGACAACAGATACGTTCCTTTATATTTCTCTCAGACTTTTGCCATGTTTTCTTTCTTTTCTATAGAATATTTATTAGTAAAACAAACACTATGAGTTGCTACTGCTAAGTGAATTTCTCAAGGTAGATTCTCAAAGGCAAGGGCATTGAAATAGTCTTTAAAAACTCAGCTTTCTCAAAAGACTAATGATGGACTGATAGTAACAAAGAATCTGTATGGAGTTCAGACATTAGAAAGCAAAGCATTTCACCCATTTGGTTGATATGACCTAGAAAAGCCTATCAGAAAGTCTGACATCCTGGCACATGCCTAGAATCCCAGCACTCTAGAGGACCTTATTCAGGACTGGCCTGGGCTACACAGTGAGATCCTGTTTAAAAATCAAATTAAAAGACACAGCAGACATGGCCATGTAACTGTGCTTTCTCATCTTTGCAGAAATTTGTTCCTTGACACCTGCCATCTTAGGTGTAATTTTTCTATAGCTAGAAATCACCTTTAACCACTTGTCATGCCCTGTGTAAGCTATGGGCTTTATCATAATGATTGGCCCTATACATTCATATACAATTATAAAGTAGCCATTTTCTTTCCATGCACAATTTGTTCCTATATAAATTGTTAATACTGTCAAAGTCAAAATTCTCCAGTTGCTAATGTAAGTAGCACAAGTATTGTGTTTAATCCTGTTTGTGCCTCAGAAAAAAAATTGATTCTTGACCTTTTTTTCCTTCTTGATATTTTTTTTTGTTTTTGTTTTTCAAGACAGGTTTTCTGTGTGTAACAGCTCTGGCTGTCCTGGAACTCACTTTTTGTAGAGATTGGTTGAATGGCCAGTGTTTCTCTCCCTTGGCTGCCATCCTGTCATACAGACACGCAGGCTTTCTCACCTTTCTCTCACAAACACACATCATTAGCCCTAGTTTGAGTTGTAGAGTGAGAATCTGTATTTGTGTGTGTGCAGGTGTGTGGAAGCAGAGGTTGATGTTAAGTGTCTTCCCCAATTGCCTTTCCATTCTGTGCTTTGAAATAGTGTCTCTTACTGAACCTGGAGCTTGCTGGTTAGGCTAGGCTGGCCAGTCATTGAGCCTCCAGGATCCTCCTGTCCCACCTCCCCAGTGCAGGGATTGTAGGCATGTGCCACCATTCTGTGCTTACATGGCAAGCCCTTCAGCAGCCAAGCTCTCTCCTTTTGGTGCCTGTCCTGGAACTCACTCTGTAGACCAGGCTGTCCTCAAACTCACAGAGATCCACCTGCCTCTGCCTCCCGAGTGCTGGGATTAAAGGAGTGCGCCACCACCGCCCGGCAGGGTCTGGAATCTTAACCATCTCTGTGGATGTTTTACAGACAGGCCAGGATTGGGAATTAGAATTAGGCTTTATTCTACGCTGTTACAGATACTTGGGCAGGGTGGCTTACACAGTTGGTGTGTGTGTGTGTGTGTGTGTGTGTGTAAGAGAGAGCAAGTGAGCAGTAGCTTGGTTTGTGGTTCTTTTACTCTTGTAAAGATATTTTTGAAAGCTAGGCATGGTGGCACATGTCTGTAATCACAGCACTAACAAGGCTGAGGCAGAAGAATGGCAAGTTCAGGGCCAGCTTATGCTACACAGTGAGACTATATATAAAAAAAACAAGCAAGAAATATGGCTGGAATGATGATGGCCTAGCAGTTAAGAAGAGCCTTTGTTCTACAGAGGACCCTGGTTCAGGTCCTAGTACCCACATGCTGGCTCACTACTGTCTATAACTTCAGTACCAGAAGGTGTAACATCCTCTTCTGGCCTCCAAGGGCACTGTACAAATGGTGAGCACACATACATGCAAGCAAAACACCCATACATATAAAATGGGAAAAAAAAACTCAAAAAATTGAGTGGGAACATTCTAGTAATAGCTTCGTGGAACAATTATCTTGTTTGCTGTGGTAATACAAAGAAAAATGCAGATGACTTGCTAGAAAGACACTTTCTGAAGTGATGAAGTGTTTTTATATTTATAATATATATTATAAATTCTGCCCTCAAGGAAGAATTTTAAGATTAAAATTTAGAAAGGTCTCATAGATGGTTGTATAGATAGTTGGGCAGTTAAGAGTACTTGATGCTCTTGAGGATCCAAATTCAAGTCCAAGCACACATGTCAGGAAGGATATAACTGCCTGTAACTCCAGCTCCAAGGGGTCCCACACTGTCTTTGGCCCCTGTGGGCACTTTCATTCTTAACACACACATACCAAAAATAAAATCTTAAAAAAATGTCTGGTGGAGGTAGGTCCCTGTGATTTGAGCGATTCTTGAAACAGTATTCACAGTGTCTAGTAGCCAGCTTGAGAAAATCACTAAGGTTTGAATGTCGTATGCTAATGGAGCTGAGGCTGAGATCCATATGTGATGACTCATTTCTGCCATCCATTGCTCTGTGACCCTTACTGAGTATCCCCTTCTGTCCAAGTGGGTTTTAAAATGTAAACACAGGATTCAGGCTCTGGGGTTCATGTTTTTCCAGTTCCCTGTAAGTTAGGCTTCAAGTAGTACCTACCTGTGTTAAACCCAACTTTGGTCCATATTTGTCCTTCCTCCTACTGAAGTCAAAATGAGCCTGTCACTGGATCTCTGTCTCGCAGTCTCTGTCTCTGATCAAGCATCAGTAGAGCAGTATCCCGAGTCTGTGGAGGAGATGCCAGTTGACAGTAACTTTGCCAGCCTTTGCTGAAGGTTTGTTTCTGAGAAATGATTTGTGGTTTCCATGAAAAGTTATACTCATTTCACGTAGTATTTAACAGGAATCAATCTTGGAAAAATTGATTTGGGCATTAGGTAAACTAGGAAATTAGGAGTACGCAAGTATACTTTATATTTTAGAGGGTTAATAATTGCCCCTATAGCCCCTGCCCCAAGAGACGAGGCCTTTTCTAGTGTATCTGATCAGCTTTTGTTTTCCGTTTCAGGATGCAATTCGAAGTCACAGTGAATCAGGTACTTTACCCCACAGTCATTTAGTGATCAGTAATGGGCTTTTTCTCTATGCTGTGATCTTCTGTTGCCTTATCTACGTGCGGATTCTGTTTGTCTTGTCTATTAAGCCTCACCTTCAGCCCTGTCCAGCAGCCCCAACAACCTGAGCCCAACAGGCTGGTCACAGCCCAAAACCCCTGTGCCAGCACAAAGAGAACGGGCACCAGGATCTGGGACCCAGGAAAAAAACAAAATTGTGAGTATGGTCAATAACACCTCCTGCCCCTCAGGGCTCAGTAAAGATAAACTCTTGGAAATCAGAATGCACTTAACACATTTGGGGGCGGGAACCTAATAAAATACACTGAAGGAAAATGAATGCCAGTGTGCCTTGGCATGTTCACATTCATTCTGTAAGTTGCCATTTGGCTACAACTCAGTAAACTGTCATGTTCTCAAAGACAAAACTGTAGCTGCAGAGCCTGTTCACCCTTAAAGGAAGCAGGAACAGACAGGGTGGGGTGACCCTTTCTTTGATAGTCTTACTCTCTGCAGGCTGTTGGCATTCTGTGGGTTATGAATGATCTCCATTTGTTTCAGAGGCCTCGTGGGCAGAGAGATTCAAGCTATTACTGGGAAATAGAAGCCAGTGAGGTGATGCTGTCCACTCGCATTGGGTCTGGCTCCTTTGGCACTGTGTATAAGGGCAAGTGGCATGGTGAGTTTGGAGCCTATCTCCAGCATCAGGGCTCTGGTGCTCAGGGTTCGGCAGAGGGCTAGGGGGCGGCTTTGTTCATAGTGGCCTTCTCTATGGGTACTTGATCACACTTGGCAATCAAATCAATTTTGAAATTTCACGGTGTTAACCTTACTCTAATTTGTATAATAAAGTTCTAGTGATGCTTAGAAACCAGTGAGCAAGTTTTAGCGCTGTAGTTAGATGTTAGTGGTGCAATTTTTTCTAAACTAAGCTAGCTCTGCTCATGGAACATGCTTCTTCACTGAGCTGGTGTTTGCTGCTTTGATGGAGGGCACCCTAGACACCAACAGCTGAAGGGACCTTAAAACAGGTCCAGACCAAGAGCAGGAGCTATCTATCTCCTGTTCAGAAGGCTGGCGCAGGAAAGCGGGAAACTTCCTGCCTCTCTGTTCTGCCCTTGGGTAATTGAATTGTAGCTCTCCCTTCCTGTGGGGTGAGTGTTCTTATTTCCATGGGAAACATTGCTCACTTGGAAGGAAGATTCTAGTTTAACCTTTGTAGTCATAGCTTGAATGGTTTGACAGCATTTCCACACCAGGTTTTTAACACCTCTAGATTAGGATGTTAGCAAATGTAAGCAGATAACAGGGCAGAGATGGAGAAAAGTTCTGAGCAAGTGTATGGACATTCACATTCACAGTGCTGGAAACAGCAGCATCCACTTGGGTTGTGCATCAATACATGGGGTTTTGCCTTCGTCATATGAGCAATGTGCTTTCTTAGGAGCACAGATCAGAAAGTTGATCAGTGACACTTTGAGTGACTCCTCTGAGAACTGTTAAGTGATGCCCTGCTGGCCTGTCTCTTGGTCTGCAGAGGAATGGTGTCACTGCAGCAGGCTATGAGCTAGGCAAAGCCTGTTTTTGAGGGGCTGTTTAGCATTCCTCCAGCCTCCTATGCAGGCACCTGACCACCAACATCTTCCTGGCCTCACCACTAAAGTTGACCTGCCTACCCCAGTCTCTCCTTCCACCCCTAACTTTCTTACCCTTTTGTTTCCTACTGTAACTCCAAGCCTGCCTTCATCTGGGCTGTTGCAGCAAAATTTTCTCCCTCCCCTTCTGTTTTATAGATGCTCACTTACATGCCCCACTAGAGTGTCCTTTCTAATATCCTTCCTGATGCTTACACCTCACTACCTCCAGGAAACATCTCCATACACTCCCACTCCCCAGAAGTCTTTAAGTCCAGCTACTGTCTTGTCTCAGACTTCACAGCCATGCGGGAATCTTCCTTCCTCAGCCACGTGGGACCTGCCACTAGGGCACACAGGGTCACTGCTGGACGGGTGGCTCCAGCACTGCACCTTCTCTACTGGATGAGCTGCAGCTTCTCCAGCAGCCTGTGCCTTTGGTGCTGGATGATGCCAGTTACCAGGTCAGTTATAGCTGAGACTGGGACCTCAAGGGAGCCCCGTCTTTACCATTGGTGCTCCCTAGAACAGACTGCCTCAAGACCACACTCCTCAGGCTGAGGGACTGGCCAACTCCAAGGTGCCTCTTAGCTGACTCAGACTTTGATCATTGGTACCATGGTTAATCTGACTGTTTTTTGAGACAGGGTCTTGGTATATGGCTTAGGCTGGCCTCCTGCCTCAGCTTCCAGAGTGGACAGCCTTATAAAAATTTGAGGTCCTAAGCTGGCGGTGGTGGTGTACATCTTTAAGCACTGGGAGGCAGAGCCAGGCAGATCTCTGTGTTCAAGGCCAGTCTGGTCTACAGAGTGAGCTCCAGAATAGTCAGGGCCACACAGAGAAAACCCGTCTCCAAAAATGAATGAATGAATAAATAAATAAATAAAATAAGGGGACCCTTAAAGGGTTTAGGCACTTTATTACTACTCTTGTTACTATATCTATATAAAACGTATTTGAATGTGACTGCCCACTACCCTGGAAAGCACGCTGACTCCTGGGTGTTTGTGAAGCTGTA